TCCAAAGTCGGATTTTTTCTGAACTCTGCATCCCAAAAGGTGCATGTGTACCAAGTTTCAGATTTCTAACCCTTCTAGAACATGATTAGAATTAGCGTCAGCCAGTCACGATCGTCTGTATATATTACATATATACGTTGATTCCAATTCAATGCCGAGTTCGCAAGCTATTCATTCGACTAGTATTCTCTGAAAGAGTGAAGTTGTCACAGATAAAGTAGGTTTTTCTTCTGAATAATACCGAAAAATCGCATAATTCATCCGACGACATAGCAATTGCTGTCCCTAAACATATATGCCAGAAGAAATGGAACAAGGGATGAAGTTTTCATTGAAGATTTCATTTCATTTCATATCGTAAAGGAACTTTCCTGAATTCATCAGCATCTTCCTCTACCATGCGAATGGTAAATTATGATATATATATTTTTTTCTCTATCAATATTACAGGCGCTCATTGCTATTTTGTTCTCGACAAGCCTCTGTCAGGCGCGAATGCTCCCAGCTGCGTGGCAACAAGTGATGCCACTGCAATCGGTGTGTTCTGTTTCCCTGTCAAAGCCTTAATCCATCACTGCAGGTACTCTTGCAAATATTTATCGTGAAGTGGATGGGTTATATTGCATTAGGAGAAGGACGACCCTGTTAGGGAATATGAAGGAACCACGCCTTCAGGGAAGGAAGACTATTCAGATTACAGAAGCGGTTACGATGACTACGAGAGAGCTGAAGGAGACGCCGATAATGAAGAAAGAGGTAATTCGTATCCGATGGAAAATGAAGATGCCATGCTCTCTCGTCTCGGTCTTGTTCTCTCTGGAGGCGATGCCACCCTGATGGACTCTACGCAGCAGCAGACGAAGCCAGCAAAACCTGAGAACAGCAGCAGGAAACTCAAGCGTGAAAGAAGACAAACATCTCTGTCCTTAGCGAGCGGCAGAAACTCCAATCGCCGATATAGGCGTACAACAATCTGTATGTATGAATGTTGATACCGGACGTGAATGTTTCAATTTCTTTTGGACTTGGATATGGCAGTACCAAAAGTGCAACATGTCCTTCTGAGGTAAGAACGTATGGTATATTCAGAACGCTTCATCAAATCTTTCATCAAATAAAGTCATATCTACTGATTTTTTTCGTAACATCATTGGGTGAATTTTTTGTGATAAAATAAAAATGTTATCATTCCGTTTCCTAACTGCATCAATTAATTGTAGTTGAAGCCGCGTGTTCTACGGTCCAAAATTCCATGTTAAGATTCAGTTCCAGGTTGGAATACGAAGAGGTTCAGTATCATTTAAATATTCCACTTCTGGGCTCTCGGAAATATTTGCAGGCCTAATACTAAACGTACTCCTAAAAAATACAGTCTGAGCCGATATTGGAAGGAGAAACTGGCAATACCAAATAAGTCTCAGGGCCAGCTGAATTCCTTAAAAAATGGCTGAGCGTGCTCGGAGAATTTCTGTCTCATCAGCTAAGTATACCTGCCTAGCATTACTGGCAAGTATTGTCTACTGGAGAAGATGAAGCCTAGTTTCGCCCGTGAGACCTTCATTGCAGAAGCCTTTCTTTCCTGAGAGATGCAATCTAAGGGAGGGTGACGGGGGAGGGATAGTGGAGGGGTTCCTCCAATCCGTTGCTGGGATGACGGCGACAAATCATCAGTCGTTTGCGTTTCACGACTGTGTCAGCACGGCTCTTGTAAGGCAGTTCCACTATCCGTAGAGCAAGATCCATTCCGATTGTCGATTCTCTTGGCATCCTAGAGTTCGAATTTTGTGCAAGACTCCATCTCATCGATATGATCGTTGCCATTGTGAGTTTCTGCATGGGGAGCCTTTCTTCATTAAAAAGAAACGCTAGTCAGGCCAGAAAGCGTTCTCTCGTAGTCACGATCCCCATTTGCAGGTCGTAAACTGAAAGAAAAAGGTTCATGAGTCTCTCTTGTTTTATGCTTCAAGCGAGTTAAACCTTTAGTAGGAAATTTCTTAGACAGAAGTCTACCACCCGAGTCAAAATGATTTATGGGAGTCATAAATAGTGTTTGTGTAAGAAATTCGCAACTCTTTTTCGAGTTTATGTTCCTATATCGAATTTGGATTTACATCGAACTCAAACTTGAAATATAGCGCGACGAAATGTCAAACCACCAACCATGACGGATAAATACCTCATGCCCAATAAATACCTCATGCCCACTTACTGTGTTAAAATTGCCATTATATTCACGTCTGTCTTGCTACATTTTCCTTTTCTAGTAATAAGTTCGCGATTGCTTGGTGTTTTTTTTAGATGATTTAGTCATTTCCTTATAAGTACTAGGTATATTACATATGTACGTTGGTCATCCCAAAAGTTCGAGGACAAATGTGAATATTTTCTTTGCATGTGATCCGGCAGCAACGGTCTCATAATAGTATTCATAGTGCTTTCTCATGGCGCTAATGTAGGAATGATCGTGTAACTGCTCCTTCCCGTTGCAAAGGTATCGCATTTTGAAGTAGACCTATATTTTACCACTATTGAAGAAGTGGATCGGCTCCAGTGAGGTGGGATTTGATTTATATGGAAACAAAAAAAGTCACATTTCGTGAGCTGCAAGAAGTTTACAGGGACAGAGCTTTCAGCAAAAGTGCCATAAATAAGTGGATGAAGTAATGTGAAAACCAATTTTCAATTGCTGTCCCTTTCCCCAACACCCCTAGCCTCTCTACAGGACTCATTAACGTTAGGCCTTGGCTTAGCCTTCAGGTCACGCCAAGGCCTACCTTTTTCTTTTCAAAAGAAAAGAAATTCTCGACTTGCGGCGCCAATTAGGCCCATAAGGTTGAATCATTGTCTTCGTGACATCAGGTTGAGGACGAGTAACGTTAGCCAATCGCAGGCATATTCATACGTTCACGAACCATTTCAGAGTTGACATGGAACGTTAGGCCTATCTGGAGCTCTTCAAACCATCTCGTGTAGGCCTTCAAGAAGCATGCAATCCATCCTGTTAATTCAGGGATGTCCGGATATCTGCATATCCAATCACATCGATCAATAAATTCTAACCACAGCTTCATTCTCAGCTCAACTCATGAACTCATCAGAAGAATGTCTCGAACATTTAGAAACAGATGATCCAGACGCCAATGCGAAGGTTGAAACTGTCTTGAATCTGACATAATTTCGGCACGATATCCGGCAACACTGGGGAACGGTACCGGAGCAAGCACTCAAAGCTTAATTTAACGACAGCTAATTTCATTTTTTATTGCGAAATGGAGCATCGCAAGCAACAAAAAAGCCACTTTTCGTCATTTACGAATCAATATCTTTCTTATCTCTTTCCTCCGAACTCATGGGTAGTCACTCCATCAGGAGTGACTACCCATGGGTTGGGGGGGGGTAAATGGATTAAATTCAAATCCTCCAAAAACGAGATTCAGCGTTCTCCACAACCCCGGATAGATGAAGCTTCAAATTTGCTGGAGCGATGAGAGAGAAAGAAGTATGTCAAATTTCGTTCCTGTTCATGCTCTCAGAGAGGAATAAGAGGTTGAATTTTTCGGCGGGAAGGGGTTGCAGAAAGGTATTGAAGAAAGAAATTGATGCATCGCTTTGAAGCAGAATGGGATACAGTGGATGATTCGCCAAGGTCGACTTGGCCTTGGGACACGCTTGGAGCATGCTCCCGCTGTGAACCAGCGGGTTCAAGTGACCCAAGCAAACTAGTTTTGCTGAAGGACTCGAGAAGCTGATAGAACGGTGGCAGAAGTGTGTGCAGCTGCGCGGGAAATATAATGAGAAAGGTCACTTGAGATGATGCTGCATTTGGTGTTTCAACTTGATGTAGAATACAATGTTCTCGAATTTTTGGGATGACCCATGCATATATACAAAGTCCAGTTCAATGCTGCGTTCGCAAGATTTCATTTGACTAGTATTCCCCAAAGAGTGAAGCTGTTACGGACTAAGTAAATTTTCTCTTTTGAATAAAGCCAAAAAAATCGTATGATTCATCTTACGACATAGCAATTACTGCACCTAAACATATACGGAGTATGTCGGAAGAAATGGAATAAGGGGATGAAGTTTTCATTGCTGTTCATGTGGATGGGTTACATTCCATTGGGAGGTGGACGATCCTGTGAGGGTATATGGAGGAACCACGCCTTCAAGGGACGAACACTATTCAGATTACAGAAGCATTTACGATGACTACGAGAGAAGTGAAGGAAATGCCATAGATGGAGAACGAGTCGACTTGCATCCGACGGAAAATGAAGACACCACACACTTGGCTCACGGTCTTAGTCTCGCTGGGGGCGATGCCCTTCTGATGGACTCTCCGCAGTAGCAGACGATGCCAGCAGAAAGTGAGAACAGCAGGAAACTCAAGCGTGAAAGAAGACAAACACATTCGTGCTTGGCGTGCGGCACCAATTCTCGTCGCCGGTTTGGGGCGATCACAGTAAAGTAACTTTTTTTTATATTGGGCGTGCAGTGGACTTGGTAAGACGATAGGCGTTTTTCAGCACACAACCTTGATTTGTCAGTGGTCTTTGAGTGACTGACATGTATTAAGCCTCCGATCTAGCATTGATTCACCTCTGACATCAAAGGCAAAACCTGGCAACTTTTAAATCTTTTCATATCAATGAACCATGAGAAATGACTTGGCGATAAGGCAAGTACAGTATAAGAATCTTGGGAGTCGTCTGCCTCTGGGAAAAATATTGCTTGCATCTCGAATCTATCAATCTCAATAATGGAATTAAGCTAAGTTACTAAATCCCTTATAGGAGGATAATCTCAGAAAGTTCCAGAACGTTGGGGACTCGGAAAGGGGGGTGGGGGAGGGGAGTGCTTCTCTGTGGAAATGAGTGCGGACGAACTGTGTCGCCGTGACATCGAAGGACGCGACGACTCCCAGGCTGTTGGCCCTTCCTTGGCTCTGCACTCACTCAACCCCTCTGCTCCGTCTCCTTGCTCTTCCTGCTTGCTACGATACGAATACGGTGTGTGGCTGGGGTAGGAAGGATGGCGAAGAGATCGTGCTATGACTGCAAAGGCAGGAATGTATACGGGGTAGTGCATAAACTAAGACCAACGGTTTTTAGTCAGTATGTCTCCGTTCCCACTGGAGCTGTTTTTGCGAAACACGGCGTAGATGGACATGGTTTAAGGCATCTTTGAAATTTCGTCAAAATTCACTGCTCCGAGGCAAGATTTATTGTTTTAGGCTGGCCTTGCAGATAGTTTTGATGAGCATTTCTTAATTAATAGCAGGTGAACCAATAATAACCCAACCGCAGAGGTTGCTCCAATTTCTTTAAGATTTTATCCCAGCCTTGGTTAGAAAAAAAACGCAAGAGATTGAAGTTCCTTTTTTCTTCATATTTATTTTTAACATGAATGGGTTTGCTTCGGCAACGGTAACTTGAGCGAAATCTCAAAAGACCGTTTGGAGCGCCTTACTCCATGTTCGATGCATCGACTCTCGCTATCAGTGAAGTTCTCACGTCGAAGCCCATCACTTATAACCTTGTTTATCTGCTTTTCTCACTATGACATAGACAAGACACGGCTTTGGTTATATTTCTCGTAACTGACAGCGGCTGCTGGTGATGCTTGGTGCATCAGCAATAGGCAGCTATTACAATAACATGATCATTCAGATTTTCGCGAGGAAATTCCCTGGAACATCGAGCTAAAAAAATCGCACGCTTCGAGGTTCCCTGCAAGAGGAGGGAATCACCCGGATGGACCCGGAAACACTGCTCCTCGCTATGCCGAAGGTTGATGTTCAGAGATGCACGGCACCGCGCTTCTTCGCGCAGACATCCCACCGAAGTTGACTTGCTCGACCTGAAAGGAGGCACGTGGCAAGGGTGCCCCTTTGGCACACTTGGAATCCGAGGCCACGCAAGTCCATTATGTTAACTTAACAGGTAGAGTGACCTTCTTCAGGACTTCTTCTCATAGAGGGGCTTATTCGAATTCGAATATCACGGGCTCCTAGTTTTTAATTAGGAGATACTGTAATTACTCTGCTCCGGCATAGATTCCTGTTTCATCTAATTTCGATATCGACCCGACTGCCTCGAGCGATTTCGGCATTCACCGAGAAGTATCTCCACCCATTATCGCTCATCTTCACGATCCCTTGCCCGCTCTGCTCGCATGAATAATTGCAGTAGATATTGCTGGTGATTGAAAGCTTCACGGGTCTCAAGCAGCAAATCGGTATAAAATATTGAACGAATTCTAGATGAGCTTTTCTCGAATGATGCCGTAGCTGTTGAGGGAAAAAAGGAGACGTCCTCTTCTGTCGTTTCTGTTTCATTAGAACGACGTGTTGAGTCATGTCATGTCACGTCATTTGTCTCGGTCAATTCTCTCATACTTAGAATACTGTGAACTCGGCTTGAAGGGGGAAGGATGATGAAGAAATGGTGAAACGTGGAAACCTCATGGTGACTAGGAGACGCATTGTGCTCTTCCCATTCCTCCTCCTCGCGAGTATCCCAAAAGGTTGCTGGATGGGAGGGAACATGAAGACCATCTTCGTCTCGAAATGCTGCCCTTTGCAGGAGGGATTCGATCTGGTTCATAAAAAAGTGTTTCCCACGTCCCATTCGCTGGATGCTTCCAGATTTATATTCAGAGGAAGGCAATATGTAGAACATTTCACAATATGAATCTGTCGTCAATGTCGACGACCTGGCTTTTAACCCCTCCTCCACGCAATTCTTGGTCCCGGCAAAAGTTCCTCGGATGCGTTACGAATTCCTGCAGTCAGAGATGCTCTATGTTCCGATAATAGAACAAGTTCCATGCATAAAAAGAGGAATTTTGCTTCCATCAAGGGCTTTTCAGAGGATCCTGGGCCCAGAGGGCTAGCTCCTGCGACCCAGAAGAGAAGAGAATCCTTCAGGAATGTGAAGACAGGGTGTGTGCCCAAAAATGCTGCCCTTTGGGACGGTTTTTGGACACATTCCATACGAGACCCAAATGTAGTCCGGGTGGAAAGGCTGGAATCCTTGAAAGCTTTTCAGGTCTGGTCTTGTTAATGGACGTCCTGCTGAGAACGATATCCACGACATCATGAGTAAGCTGAAATGCAAAGGGATTCTAGACCATCCCTAGAAGCACATAACATTGAAACAACATGAATTCAATGTTGATTCAATATCCGGATGTTGATTCAACATTGAGTCAATGTTGAGTTCACGTTATGTGCTACTAAGGATGGTCATATGCGGCAGCCGACAAAGAATCCTAAGGACAATTTCACTTTAACTCAAAATGGGTAATAGCAGATTGAAGGCACCGGGATTTCCATCCCGGATCTCGGTATTGCATCGAAGACGTTGGCGACAGCAGTGAGGCTATACAGCTCGCTGTCTTACTTTCCCTATTGAACACAAACCCAAAAATCTGCCCTAATCACCCTGCTGGCAGTTTTCCAGCTACTCACGTTCCTTATATATCTCGCTCTGCCAGAGAGCAAGAGTGTTCGCGGAGTAATTCTTCTCTCCTATGTTGGCTGTCTCCTGGTTGCCAGCATTGCCCTCTCGCTTAGCAATATCGGTGTCGGAAACGGAATCACCATCAATATCTGCCTTGCTTTCGGTACCACTGAACAGCATTCATTTCACGTTCAAGTTACTAGTGGAAGGCCATTAAAAAAGATACATCTTTTTTTTTCCTAAGGTGGAATTGTTATAACCTGGATCTGTTCAATAAATACCCATTGCAAAGAGTCGTAAGGGAAGTAAAGGGCAGGAAAGTGCTAGTAATCGATTGAGAATGGGGATATAGCCATTCATCTTGATAGCAGTCGCGAGAGACAGAGTTCTATAATAAAAAGTATTGCTTTCTAACTTCCTAATTGGAACGTTCCATGTACGTAAAACGAACCCATAATTGCGTGCAACCTATTTAGAGAAATTTCAATCCTGAAAAACGTTTATATTCGTTTTGTTTTGGGAAAAGTAATTGTCACAGACGAACCCGTTTCTCTTCATTCTGTTTCTTCCTCATCCTTTTTTTTCGCATTTTCGTAAAAAAAAAGGACTTTCATTGATGTTCTCTCTCCTGGTTGTATGCGTGGTTTTGATCTCATCTTCTCCTGTTGATGGCGGCGTCCAATGTTCCAGCGCTGTTCGTCTTCTACGGGAATCTAGCCGCTTTTGCCTGGCTCAGCGCAATGGGCTTCGACGTCTGGCTCAACGTCAGGCGAGTGTGGGGACTCTCATCCTGAAAGGATTCTAAAAGAAGAGACGTCATCGTAATGCTCACTTTGGCAGGAAATTCCTGATCTTTGATTAATCATTGCATTTCTCCATTTCTCTCTATTTCACTGAAGGAAAATGAATGTCTGGGTCTACATGAGTCATTATCGGGATTACTTTTAATTTAAGTTTCGTTCCCCAGATCCAATCGGCAGACGTCTCCATTCCAGAGAGGGGCGAGGTTCATCTTTTTCTATCTCTATGGATATGGGGTGACAGCGTGTGTCTTCGTAATAGGATGCGTCGTGGAATTCGCTCCCGGCATCCCTTCTGACACCATCAAACTGGGACTGGATCTCAACAAACAATGCTGGTTCGGTGGTATGTATATTTTTTAAATACTCATCTGCTTGAGGAATTGAATAAGTTGCACGCGGATGTTATTCTTCCCATAACATTTACATCCTCGAGGAAATGTCAAAAATTCAAACTGTGGCTGAAGCCGACAGAATGCACTGCAAGTGGTCCTGTTTTTTTCGAATGGTTTTCGCAGCTCCACGAGTAGATTGATGTCACAACGGATGGACCATCCCTGCCGACTGACACCACCATCCCTGCCGACTGACACCACCATCCCTGCCGACTGACACCACCATCCCTGCCGACTGACACCAAATTGCATAAATTCCACTTCGGATTTTGAAGTTCTCCCAATGACGATTCGTCCTAGAACGTCACAAGTCATCGAGGAATTCTGCACATAGCAGCGGAATCCCAGACCGGTAGCAGTCTACGATTGCGAGGAAGTCTTCAAGGAATTTTTCCGTCGTGTCCCAACAGCGAGGGACATTTGCTCGGTCTTACTCAGGTCAGTCGTCTCATCGAAGACGACAGAAAATCCACCGGATCCGCGGATCCCCGCAACTATTTTCTTTCTTGGTTCTCCTCCCCGAATCAACTCATTCCCGATCAACTCATTTGGATTTTTCTTGCTGATTGCATGTTGCATTCCATTTGGCATTTTTCGACTGCTCGGGTAAGAGCGCGTCTCCACGTGCAAAGGAGACCTGAATTTCCCATCATTTGACGGAGGATTTTCATCGATTTCAATCATTCCATCATCTCGGCGATAAAGGTCACAGAGAACGATGCATCCAGTCGTCTTCCAGTGTAAAGATCAGGATTTTCGCAGGCTCTGATGAAATCGGCAGCAGGGCAACTCGCGCCTGGCTGATGAAATCTGAATGAAACCTGACGATGGAAACTGCTCATGGAAACTGCTCATGGTATCTGCTCATGGAAACTGCTCCTGGAAACTGCTCATGGAAGCTGCTCATGGAAACTGCTCATGGAAACTGCTCATGGAAACTGCTTATGGAAGCTGCTCATGGAAACTGCTCATGGAAGCTGCTCATGGAAACTGCTCATGGAAACTGCTCATGGAAACTGCTCATGAAAACTGCTCATGGAAACTGCTCATGAAAACTGCTCATGGAAACTGCTCATGAAAACTGCTCATGGAAACTGCTCATGAAAACTGCTCCAAGTGTTTTTGGCCGGCAAACCGCCTCGCAGCCTTATCGCCTTTTCCCTCCACCGAAAAAGGGAAATTCGTATCCCTCTTGGCGCTTGCCAATGATTTGTCAAAATTTCATATCTGAGTTTCATACATTGCAGCTGATCTTCGTAACTGCCGATATCCTTCTACGCCTGCTTCTGAGATTTTCGCACGGTTTCGTGGATGATCTGGCGCCGTCAGAGTAATTGAAGAGTCGAGAGTTCACTTAGAGATCTTTTGCAGCTCAAACCCGAAACTCAGAACCCTTGTCTCCTCTTCATATCACTTCGTCCTATCGGAGAAAGAGGTAAGTGATCTTAATTATGAACACTTAAAAATAAATGAATTTGCACACAAAAACTAATTAATATACATACAGTATGTACTAATTGCAAGGAGTCAAAGGTACTTACACAACAGAGAGTTTGTCGTCTAATTCCGAGGTTTTGATTAGCAGTACTCTGTGAGACTGAATTCTAACTCGCTCGAATGAGGGCTGAAATCTTCGAGGGCATCGAAATAGCAAAAAAGCAGTTGCAGCATTGCACGGCTAGTTTAGTTGCATGTAATAGGAATCTGACCCACCTGACGAGGCATTTGACGACGCCGGGCACACGCACAATGATGCAGCCGTAGTTCTGACTGTCACTGAGGCAGTGATCCCCTGGGAGTGAAGGTGCAAGGGCGTGTGTCTTTTAATGTCTTGTGCGAGGACGATGAAGATTAAAGACTGGATCGGTAAAGGATCAGACGGGATTTTGTTGTCGCCAAGCGTTTTCCTCAACCCTGATAATCTCTGTCTCGGGATTAGCTGCCACCCACTGACGACTCTAGTTCCAACCCTCCTAATTTAAAATCAGGATTATCTACAGGATTTAAAATCATTCCCTTCTCTATTCAGAAGGGAATGATTTTTAATCCTGTAGAAAGTAAATCAGTTTTGCTTGGCCTCCTCGTTTTAAAATAGGTTGCGAACCTGGGTATAGGGGTGCTGTCGCCCGCCCCACCCCCGCCCCCACCCCCGCCCCACCCTGTATCCGCCCCTGGCTCCCTCCAATCAGTTGCAGGGACGACGACGACGAATCGTCAGTCGATCGGGCCTCACGACTGCGTCAGCACGGCTCGTGTGCGGCAGTTCCACTGTCGGCTGAGCGGGATCCTTTCCGATTTTTGGTTCTCCTGGCATTCCTTCGCTTCAAACTTTGTGCGCGACTCCATCTTCTCGTCGACATGATCGTTGCCATTGTGAGTTTCTGCCCGAGGGACCATTAGGAAGCGACACTAGGCAGGCCAGATAGCGAAGTCGCGATCCCCCTTCGCAATCGCAAGCCCATTTAGGGAGTTTAAATTGGATTCATTTTCACGTCTTTCTTGCTACATTTCCCTTTCCAATGAATAAATCCTCAACTGCGTGTGCTTTGGAAATGATTTAGTCATTTCTTTTCCACATTATTACTTCCTATCTTCTAGCCCGCAGTGTACCAGATAATTACGTTGCGCTATGAATTAAATTAAGTAAAAGTTAACTTGAGAAAGCCTTGCCTATCTAACCATCTCTGAACGAGGAACGGAAGGGAATGAAGGAAGAGACATGGCAAGTTCCGGAACAGCATTTAATTTGGCGCTATGGTGCGTTTTCCTTCAGGTCAGTATTAAGAATCTGGACGTGTTAACAAGGGAAAACGGGGTTTGGCGCACCTGGCTTCGTGGGAAAATCCCGTCTGCGACGCGTATCTTTTGCCTAGTTTGCATTTCAGTAATTGAAAAGTCACTACGAGAAAATGGTCGAATTTCGTAATTTCTGGAAAGAAGCACAAAAGTTCGAGCACAATTTTCATGTGTATACACTCCCCAAAAAAATATGGAACCTTTTACAATTTTTAGCTACTCGTTATTGGTTCACGCTTTGTGGGCTGACTGCTAAGCAGTCAGCCCACAGCAAGTGAGCAGCTTAAGCAGCTCATGCATGGGCTCATTTGACGTCTTAGTCAGCCCTCAAATGCGCGCAGCGATAGTCTGAACCAATTACGAGAAGCTAAAAATTTAAAAAAGGGTCCAACATTTTTTTTGGACAGTGTACAGTCCATATGTTATGTCCCTTTCAATGCTGAGTTCGCAAGATATTCATTCGACTAGCATTCTCCAAAAGAATGAAGCTGTTATAGGTGAAGTAACTCTTTCTTTTGAATAAGACCAAAAAAATGCATGATTCATCCTACGACAGCAATAACCGTACCTAAACATATGCCGGGAGAATTAGAAGAAGAGGATGAAGATATTGCTCCTGGTAGCGTCTGAAACTGTCCCGGATTCATCAATATCCTGCAAATGTAAAATGTGATATGTTGAAATCTGGTGTCTTATAATATTGCAGGCGCTCATTGCTGTTTCGCTCTCGCGGAGCCGGTGTCAGGCGTTGACGATGCCAGCTGCGTGGCAGCAAGTGATGCCACTGCAATGGGTGTGTTCTGTTTCTCTCAATCCCTAAATGTCCCAGGACAGTTGCTCTGGGAAATATTTATCGCCGTGGGGATGGGTTACGTTCCATTAGGAGGAGGACGAGCCTGTGGGGGAATATGGAGGAACCACGCCTTCAGGGGATGAAGGCTATTCAGATTACAGCGGTGGCTACGATGACTACGAGAGAAGTGAGGGAAATGCCATGGATGGAGAACGAGTCGATTCGCAACCGGTGGGAAATGAAGACACCGCGCACTTGGCTCACGGTCTTGGTCTCTCTGGAGGCGACGTCCCTCTGACAGACTCCGCGCAGCAGCAGGCGAAGCCAGCAAACCGCGAGAACAGGAGCGAGAGGCGTGAAAGAAGGCAAACGCATCTGTCCATAGGGGGCGGCAGAAACAGCAATCGCAATACGAGACGCTACAGTCGCCCGCGTACTACAATAATTTGGGATTAAATTCACGATTAATCGTCCCGCTGTGTGATATCATGGGATATACTCGATTTTTAATGACATTCTGGGTTCGACGCAATATCTCACGTGTTTCAGGAAAAAAAAAGTACCAAAAGTGAATCATGTCCTGATATACTAATGTATGGAATTGTACGGACGATTCTACCCAATGATCAAATGAAAATTCCCTCAGCTACTTCATATTTTAATCTTGATTTCGCGTGTCAAGATTCCACGTCTTCCATTGCGATTATTTCAGCGTGACTCGACCGGTTCCTGTTCCTGTTTGACCCAAATCTAATTGCTAATCTAGTTGATGGCTAATCCATTAAGCTCGCTTCCAGATGAAATGAGTCAGTTTAGTGCGATCGTATTAGAGTAACTTTTTTGTTTTTATTAATAAAACTGTGCAGTGGACTTGGTAAGACGATGAGCATTTTTCAGTGGCCTTTGAGTGACAGACCTTAAGCCTCAGATCGTGCATCGAATCACCTCTGACCTCAAGGGCAAGACCTCACGAGTTTTAAACCTATTCACATCAATGAACCCAGAGAAATGACTTGGCGATGAGGCAAGTGTAGGATTCTTTGGAGTCGTCAAAAATATTGCTTGCATCTCGAATCGATGGATCTCAGAATTAAGCTAAGCTACTCAATCCTTTATAGGAGGATAGTCTCAGGACATTCCAGAACGATGGAGACCAGGAAAAGGGGGCAAGGGGGTGCTTCTCTGTGGAAATGAGTGCGGGCGAACTGTGTCGCCGTGCCATCGAAGGACGCGACAGTAGTTAGTTATACATACTACCTACGACGGCGGAGGAGGCTGTGGAGGTGGAGGCGGTGGAGGTGGAGGTGGAGGCGGTGGAGGTGGAGGCGGTGGAGGTGGAGGCGGT